ACACACACACACACACACACACACACACACACTGTAAAAGGCAAGTGAAAAAAAAGTGGATGGTAGTTAAGGCAGAAGCCTGAACCTGGAGAGACTTAAGGAGGGCAGAAAAAGAGAGCTGCCGGCCCTGTGTCAAGGTGGCTTTGCCTGCAGCTTTTATTATGCATCGATTTTCTTATCCATCTTCTTTAGAGCCTCTTAGATCTTCAGGCTGCGGCTGTTTCTCCAAATTGTCATTCACTTCAAGCTCTCTCTAGCTTCTTGCAGCAGCTAAGGGAGGGAGTCTGGGGGTGGGAGGAAAAAGAGAGGGAGAAGGCAGTCAAGAGAGGTGAATGCAGGTTGCTAAGTAACCGTTGCCAAGGAGCCAGTACCAAGGAGCATCCCAAGCTGCCTGCTTATTCCAACCTCCCCCCTTCCACACCCTCCCCTCACTTAAGTTCTCTCAGGTCTATAAAGCAGCTTGATTCTGTCACCTTCACCAGCTGCAAACCTTCTTCTTCCACAGCTCTTCAGGTGGAGGGCTGCAAATCCTAGAGCTTCTGGCTCTCAGATTCCTAGACCTAGGCTAGCTGCCATAGGTAGCTGTGAGTGCAATGTATCAGTTAAAAAGAATGCCTCAAATTAATTTAATTAGCAATAAAAATACCCCACCTGCATTTTGCAGGTTTATTTGGTTGATTGGTAATAATAGGCTCAAAAGTGAGTCCAGGAAGACCAGACAGAATCTTCTCTCATCACCTTGAGACAATTCAAACCTCCTTCAAAAAATACTTCACTATTTGGTCTGAAAGGTCATGAAGTCCAAGCACACAAGCTATCTCTTATCCAAGATCTATTGCAAGATGAAATGACACTTGGGCCCTCTAAAATTTGGGTAATTAATTATGATCTCGCAGGACTGCCTTCTCGATTACTGAAGACTACAGAAAGTACTACATGACATTTCATAACAAATTTAACTTATCCTTTCTGTTTAATTCAAATAAATATTAGCAGATTCCATCCCTTCGGGGTGGTAGAGCAAGTATCAAGCCAGAAAAAAAAAATCAGTTTGGGTAGGAAGTCGCTGAGCTAAGTCAATCTAGAATTCAAATTTTGCCACAAATAATCCAGAAAGCATATGCTGAGTCTTCTGTCAACTCTGCACAGTCATCATCTCTGTGGGGCTGGACTAAGAGAGGTTAGGTGGTGATGGTGGGTTACCCTGGGATCTCAGAAACTCCAGATCCTAAATGACCAAGGATATCCACTTCGATAAACTCATGGTTCCCACAATAAGCCACACAGTTCTCTCAGCCTAGAAAAAGAGTCTTTGCTTTCCTTGAAAGGTTCCAGTCATCCCCCTACTACTGCTGAGAAAAAAACAGATGTGCTCTCTGCCCTAGTTTGCCTTTCAGTGCTGTGCTACAAATAACACACACACACACACACACACACACACAGAGAGAGAGAGAGAGAGAGAGAGAGAGAGAGAGAGAGAGAGGAGAGAGATGCAATGCAGAGTGTGTTGGCACAGCCTGTAATCCTAGCACTCAGAAGGCAGAGGCCAGTGGAACTCTGTGAGTTTGAGGCTATCCTGGTCTATATAACAAGTTCCAGGACAGCAGGGGCTACATATAGAGACCCTGTCTGGGGGAAGGAGGTGGATTATATTTGTCCAAATAAAACCCAAATGTAGCGTTCATGAAAGTCCTGAGAAGGCAGATTTAGAACTTACCCGTCTAAGCTTTAGTCCCTCTTTGGTAAGAGAATGGCATTCCTTTTCATAGACCTCCTGTGGAATTATATAAGGTAGAATAGCCTACAATAAATATCTAGTGCCATTTTTCTCAACAATGTGGTTATCCTTGATCTATCAGAACTGGATAAACAGGAACTTGGGAAATGGCTTAGTTGGTGTAGTGCTTTTCATAAAAGCATAAGAATTCAGACCTCCAGTGCCTGAGTGAAATGTTAGATGTATGCAGTGCCAGCACCCAGGAAGCCGAGACAGAGGCTCCCTAAAGCTTACTGAACTGGTGAGTCCAAGGTTCAGTGAGGGACTCTATCTCATAAAAGGCAGAGAGTGACTGGGAAGATACCCAAGGCAACTTCTGACCTCTACACACATACATAGACTCTCTCTCTCTCTCTCTCTCTCTCTCTCTCTCTCTCTCTCTCTCTC